GCTGGAAGCCGCCATGTGCACCGAGCGGAGCCCACGCCTGTTGCCACGCTCTGGTGGTGGCACGTCGAGCCCACGCCGAACTAGCAATCCTGCAAAGGATAGGTTCAAGGACTAAAGGACGGGCGTCCCCTACATCTAAACCATACACAGGGTGGGGAACTTGCTTAGGGAGATGAACCTGCAGATAATACTGCCACTCTGACGGATAGCAACGGTGGTGAATCCACCTGTTCCAGAGGTCAGCGTATGCCTGCCACATGGGGAGCGTCCAGTGCCGGATCTCATCACCGCTCCAACCATCAGGTCCGGCCGCTTTGCCACCCGAAGCACCAGCCTGTTGCTGAAGCTCACTAGCTGTTAGCGGCTGCCAGCCGAGCTGAGGCGCACGAACATGATGCCGAACATGCTCGGCACTCCAAGCGCGATTGGCATCATCAGGTCGTACTTCCCGTTGCCAAATGCGCCGCCAGAACGTACGAAGGAAGATCAGGCTGCAAGCAACACCATTGCTAGGAACACTATCTAAAGAGACAAAGGCAGGCGCCGGCTTGTTGCTGCGCCGCACCCATTTCCGCACCGAGCTGTCAGAAGCACGAAGGCGCTCCTTCCACTGGTGTAGGCGCTGCTGGGCCTCTGCTTGCTGCAGTTGACGGATCTGCGTCTCTAAGTCATCAATGGCGGTGTGCAAGGGAATGAGTGGGCCCTCATGTCTGGCAGCACGCCTGCGTAGGACAAGAGCCTCGGCATCATTACGCCTTGCAACACACCGTCGTGCTTCAAGTAGTTGACCTAAGCGACGCCGGAGCTTGCGCATCGCGAAGGACTGAAAGTCACAAGGCCTACGCATGTTCATGGCGTCATTAGGGACAACATTAGGCGGGGAACCCTTAGGTCTAGTGTGACGCCATGCATTGTCAAGTCCCAGGGCTGCACGTGCCTGGCGGGAAGCAGCCTCCACAAGTGCGTGAAATATGCGGCTCTCCTCATTAGGATTAGGCTGCAAAGGAAGGGCCGCGCGGAGGCGTACAGCATCAGGATGCGAGCGCCAGACTTCCTGCCACGCAGTGTCCAAAGCACGCCGCCACGCATTGACACTCACGTCCTGTGGGCAGGCGTATTACTCAAACTTGAAGCGGTCCAACCAATGCTCGATGCCCTCCTCCTCATAGGAGGGCACTGCTTTGGTGAGGAAGCGGTTCAGGCGGGCGGCGGGTCTTCTGTGAGGCCGAGGCAAAGGCCTGCCGCTCCTTCACAGGCCTCCCACAGACCACGTGGACCGCTTCTTCTTCCAGGACATTCGCCCCGTTGACGAGCTCAGGGAGGAGATGGCCGCGACCAAGGCAGCAGCGGCCGAGGTGAAGCCTGGGGGATACCTACCAAGAGGCAGCACTCCACAGGCACGGAGGGCACCTTCTCTTCGATGGAGGAAAGCCCCAAGGAGCCCTACCACCTGTTCGACTCACAGAACGATTGGGACGAGGCCGTTGTGGAAGCCAAGACCTCTCACATCAACCACGGCTACGACTACGATATCTCGAGCGGCCTACAGCGACGAGCAGTGGAAGGAGTGGACCAAGGAACACCGCCTCAGGAACATGGGCTCACAAGCGGCCAAGGCGTTGCTGGCCAGCCGGCCAAAGCTTTCGGCCTGAAAGCCGGGCAGGCGCTCACAGGCTTGCCGAGATTCTTCCGAGATGCCTCTTCTCAGTGGTGTTCTCACAGAGGATATCACTGCGCCAGCACAGCACAAAAAGCAGGAAGAAAGGGAGCGCATTCGTTTGCAGCATGTTTGCACACCTCCCACAGGTGAGCCGGGAGCGCTGAGCCATCCCCAAGCCCAAATCCTTTTTATACATAGTTCTCACAGTTCCGCTCTTAGGTCGGATTTTTCGGGATTGAGGAATGTGCTTTTCGGCGACGAATGTGCACCGCCACCAAGCCCAACTGCACAAAACTCACCCACACCAGACCCTCTCACAGCACTAAGCGCCACCTCCGCAGCAGGGACTCGAGACAACGTCGGGCCCAGCGACGCATTACCCAACGAGCACAGCGCCGCCGCGAATACCGTGGATGGCAGACAGCACTCCACCCACCCCCGCCAAAGCCTTTGTATGGCCTCACTCGCCGCACTCCCTCACACCGGCGGCTACAGCCCAAAAGCAGCAGCAGCCCGCAGCAGCGACCCCTCGACAGCGACAACACCCCAAGAAGCCACAACTGGGCCACAACCGCTACAGACGCCACCTCTTTCGACACTTTCTCTCGCGAGCCTTCAAGCTCAAACACAAGACACCACAGAACAACGCTACACCCAACCACCTCCGCACCGACTCACAGCCCACACCCAATAACAGACAACCTTGGCAGCAGCGCCACGACATGTGCCAACGAACGCATACCAGAGCACACTAGTTCAAAACACATGTGTCACAGCCAACATCTAGAGGCAGGACCAAACACGATATCCAAGCACAGCCGCGGCAGTCACTCAGAGGAGCCTTTTGGAACACCACGGGACTCCTCGAAGCAGCCAAGCTCCACTCGCTGATACAGCTCATGCGGCAACACAAATTGAGCTGGCTGGCCCTCACAGAAACCCACATGAAGCAGCCCGATCAATTTATGATTGAGGGCTACACCATCACCCACAGCGCCACCGAGATCTACGACTCCAACAACTTATCACAGCCCCCAGCTTCACACCCATTCTCACAGACCTCACTTGCATAGATGGCCGATTCCTGCACTTCACCATTGACACGGTGGAGGCCCCACTGAAGATTATGGTCATCTACGCGCCACACAACCACAGAGAGCAACCAGTCAGAGATGCTTTTTGGCAGCAGCTCACACAACACCTCACATCAGAGAACGCACGCCGCATCTGGTGGTCGGCGACTTCAACGCGCTGGCACTGGATGAGCTAGCGGCCCTTCCCCACGCAGTGGCCCCCACTTCGTACCAGGCAAGACGGCGGAAGAAGACGAAACAGACAACACGGAGGAGGGAGACACAAACGAAATCTCCTTTCCTCACAGGAACAGACACACCCACAAGCGCTCCAACGGAGACAACTCGACCATGCCATCATACACAAAGACTGGCGCAACATTGTCCACAACATTCACACCACCCTGGAGCAGCGCTCAACAGCAACTACTTTTTGGTTAAAGTCGACCTGCTGCTTAAAACCAAAGAAGCCAAACGCACACTCGCCAGCCGCGACACACCAAACAACCACTTCCACACAGATACAAAAGCTCAACAGACCACTTACACAGACGACTACAGACACCACCACCTTGCAACCACAATCCGACCAGCTTTGGCAACAGCTAAACAACCACGCAAGCCATGATAGATTCCAACTGGGTTCCCAAGCACCATCTCACAGGATACATGGACCAAAAAAGACACAACCTTTGCGTGCGTGTGGTACCTGCAGTGCCTGTAGCGCACGGGCCATGCGAAACCACCGCGTTCCTCCGCCCGTCCCTACTTGCCTTCCCACGCACCAGTATTCAAAAAGAGAGTGTGTCAAATTACCAAGATTGGAAGGGTGGCTTCAAACTCCACTTGACCCTGTGGCTAAATACTCGTGCAAGACTTTCAAAAACCCAAACAAACAGGAACCTTGCAGTAGGAGGGTAAGTCCCCAAAGACAAAAGATGGCAGCCACACTCCACGCACGAACGTTCGCGAAGCTCACTGATCTGCAACCAACAAGCGAGCGCACACCGAACATGTTTTGCGCTCTGGCATGGGGTCGAGCGAAGCGTCAGAAACCGAACGACGTTCACCGACCGACCCGAACCCCGAACGGTCGAACGAGACACCCTTCCCGTGCGTCATCGTCCGATCGCGAGAGCGAGCGAACGCGCATCCCGAAACCTTTCACAAGCTTCGAGCGCACGCCCCAATTCCGACTCTAACAAGTCTTCACGACTGTATCAAGCCAGAACTGCTCCCTCGAAAACAGGGTGGGCCGGGTGGGAGAAAAAGATCTTTCGCAGATCCGGAGCGATCGCCTTGCCCCAAAATGGCCACGGCGATCGCATCTATAAGAGCAACTGAGTGGCATGCAGATCTCATGCAGAACTGCGGTGCTCCTATTCCAGACCTACCTAACCGATAATAGGAGGACCACACTCCACGCACGAACGTTCGCGAAGCTCACTGATCTGCAACCAACAAGCGAGCGCACACCGAACATGTTTTGCGCTCTGGCATGGGGTCGAGCGAAGCGTCAGAAACCGAACGAAGTTCACTGACCGACCCGAACCCCGAACGGTCGAACGAGACACCCTTCCCGTGCGTCATCGTCCGATCGCGAGAGCGAGCAAACGCGCATCCCGAAACCTTTCACAAGCTTCGAGCGCACGCCCGAATTCCGACTCGAACAAGTCTTCACGACTGTATCAAGCCAGAACTGCTCCCAGGCCCGAACTGTTTTCAATTCGCGAGCATCGCGGGCCACGACGTCAAAACTGTCTCCCAACCCGCCGACTGGCCAATCTCGAGCTGATCCCTCGATGGCCAATCGGCGGGGTTGGCGTCAGTGGAGACACGGTCGATGAATAAATTGATCTTATACTCAAGAGCGAGTTCCCAAAAGATTTCGACGAGCTCGCAAAGATCCTCTTTTGAAGAGTATCCTTTCACAAGAGCTGCTTCAACTGCTTCAGAATCAGTCAAGAGCAAAACGTCTTTATTCCTCAGATGATCTCGGAACGTCTCGATCGCGAGAATCGGCGCGATCATCGATCGGCACGATCTACGTCTTGCGAGGGATCCACTTCTCCGAGATCTCGCGAGGGATCACCTCCGCGAACTGCTTCGGTGTAGGAGCTCTGCGATCAAACATGACCGCACCGACCCGATCGGGGCCCATCTCCTCTTTCCGCTGATCCGGGGTGAAGCCATCCGTGAAGATCACCACATCTGACGGCTTCTCGGATCGAAGCGAGATCTCACGAGGCGGCCCGAACTGAATCAGCCTCCTCCAGTACTTCAAGGATCGAATGATCGCCGGGTTGAGATCCATGCGATCGCCGTGAAGATCCTCCATGTACCGTCGCTCCGAGAGTGGTCGGAAGAAAGCACGACCGACCTTACCCCAGAGCTGGCTTGCTCCGAACATAAGCTTTCCTTTGAGCTTCCCAGCCAACCTGGATCAAGGATGCCGGATTCGAGCACGGAGTCGATCGTGTCAAGGAGCTCTTGCTTTCTCTGCTCCTTGATCTCCAAGACGAGCTGTTGCAGGTTGAACGTTACGCCCAGGATCACCGGGGCAACCGAGAGCTGCAACTTCTTCTCGTCAAAGAGAGCTTCCAGCAAGAAATGCACGGTTTCCGCGGCGATCTTTGCCGAAGGAGCGGTGAGCTCTGTCTCGAACCCATACTTAGCATCATAGAAGTTGAAAGCGACCATCTCGAAGATCTTGACTAAGATGTCATTAATGAAGGCCGAGCGGCGATTGTAGTTGTAGACCGCCGCGACCAAGCCGAAGGAGTGCCCGATCATGACGAAATATTTCGGTACGCCATCCTCGGGATCCTTCAAGCAGATCACGCTGAATTTACGGTGATCCGGATGAATAGGGAGTTGCCGATAGGCTTTTCTCTCATCCAGAACCCACCCGGCCAGAGTGCGATCGCCCCTGCGTGTCCACAGCTCGCGCAGAACTGCTACGTTGAGGTCCGTCGACACGAGCTGGAGCTTCTCGGTGATCACCGCGGTCTTGTTGATCAAGTTGGAAGTAGCGCTATCGCATCCTCGAACTTTGTTCTTCGCAACTACCTCGAAGCGCTGCGTAGGGATCCAATCAGAGCAGCCCAAGAACTCGGACACTTCGTCCTCGGAACCGAAAGGCCCGACAGTCGAGCCCTCGAGCACATCCTCCATCGTCGCTTTCCAGAGAGACCTGAGATTGTCCGAGACTGGAACGGCATTACAACGACGGAAAATTTTTGAACGAAACTCCCAGGCCCGATCCAGAGCATCCTGAACTGGCACCGGTTGTTGTGGCTTGGAGAACGGCGGCCACCTTCCTGATCGTTCGATGTTGCCGACGATCGGGAAGCCGTCGCGAATGCCCTTGAGCAAGAGCGGATCTGGGGATCCTGCGGCCTCGAAGAGCTCGTCATAGAGCTTAACGTGAGTGCAAGAACCGAGCTGCAGATCCACGTAGTCAGGAACTCCAAGGAGAAGACGGCGCAAAGACGGATCTGCGATGCTTCGGAGTTCTCGATCCGTGTCCGGCAAGAGAGCGTGAGAACGCTGTCGCCAAAATGCAAGACGATCGTGTCGACGCTGTTGAAGACAATGTGGTTCACCGACGATCGTCTTGATGTTCTGTAAGATGGAGTCTGGCAGAACTGGTTGGACCGTAAACGGATGAGCTGTATGAAGAGCCCACTTGATTGCTACGCCAGGCTCGCATTCGACATCGAGCAGCGGCTTAACCGCCCCGCGTTTGAGCTGGTAGCCGCTGGAGCACGCAAGCCGTGCCGCTTGCTATTGACGATGGCCTTGCCAGGCGACCTCCTCGCCGAGCCTTCGCTTGTCGATCTGTCTTGGGGGCGATGAGCTCGAAGGAAGACTTGAACTGAGGAAAGATGCCAAAGACGACCGAGTGGGTGATCTCGGCAAAGAGCTCACACAGCTTTATGGGATACTCCTGCGCGAGCCTTGTCATGAACACGACCTCCCGCGAAGGCAAGCGTAGTCGACCTTTGAGAGGAGCATGTTGGTGAGAACCGTCACAGGCACGAGCCAAAGCCAAGAAGCGAGCGTCACTGACCAGGAAGCGGGTCGGCTTGCGAAAGCTGGAGCCGAACTGGCACTGGTCCAGATCCACGTTGTAAAGATGAGGCTGAAGCTTGAGCTGCTGCACCTGTGGGACCTGCCACATGAGACTGGTCTTGGGACCACAGCCGCGAAGAGCTCGAGTGAGCGAAAGAGCAGCTCGTTAGCAAGGGTGATCTGCCATTGACCAGCCTGCGAGCTTGTGGTGAACCCCAGCGGCTCCGTGCGGGAGCGAAGCGGCGGCGGGCCTCCAGGTCGAGAGCGAGCTATGCTGAAAGAAGAGCACGGGGTGCCGAGATGCAAGAAGGTCACAGCCCCCATCCTGCACAGGAGCTTCACGAAATCCAGGAGATCGACTGACTCTCGAACGTGAGCTGAAAGCGTCAAGTCGATCGGCGGCAACACCAAGAGATTTTGTTGTCGCCATTGAGCAGAAATGCCCGCTGAGCCAGAGAAAATCTCGAGGCACCAAGGACCAAGAGCTTTGACCAAATCTGGATCACGAGGCACCTCAGACCAGCGCTCCCATGGAGGAGGCGAGCAAAACTGAGCAGCTGTCGGCTCCTTTTGAAGAGCGTCAGTCGCCGCAGGAAATAAAGCCACAGGCGGATCCGCAAAATTGCCTGGAGGTCTGTCGAGCGCACACGCCGAGGGACCCAGACCGAAATCCCTCGGTTTGAGTTCCAGCACTCAGCGGTTGTTGCGCCAAGGGTGATCCCCTCCGCACTGCACGCAGATATGCTTGTTGCGGCACTGATCGCCGAACCGACACCCCAGCGAACAGTTGTAGAAAGGACATCTGCGAGCGCCTGTACTGTATAGGAGAAAGACATGATCTTTTTCCATTCCTTCTCTGGAACGCGTTGATCTCTTTCCACCTTCTCCGTGAGCTTGACGGTGGACTTCGGCTGCTGGTCCTTCTCTTTGTTCTCCTCCCGAAACTTCTTGAGCAAGGCTTTGTTTCTGTCGCGGCGAGCTTTGTTCTTGCGAGACCGAGCTTCATTCTTCGGCGGTGTAAGAGCAGCCGGCGGAGAACGTGAACGCGGCCTCTTCGTTGGAGTGGAGACCTCGTGCTCAGCTTGACGAAACTTCTCAAGTTCTGCAGTCGAGCGAGCATCGTTCCAGAGCTGCTTGTGGTGTGTGAGCACTTCCTTGAGAGCGGACGAGAACGAAGGGAAGTCCTTCCGGGCTTATCATTATTGAGCTTGTAGATTGTAGACCTTCTTACGGATGAGCGAATCGGCCGCCAGGAGTACTGCGAGACCACGGTTGTCGTGCCGCCATTCTTCCAGTTCCGAGAGGTACTTGAGGGGGCCCGCCTCGATCGTGAAATCGCAAATGTTGAGGTACTCCAGAGCGATGAAGAAGGCGTGAAGTCGATCCATCACGTCCGAGTCCGAGGCGATCGACACCTTGCTGTCCGATTGCACCACTCGCAGAAGATCATCGGATGTCTTCGAGAACCCTGTTGTCTGCACGATGCGATCGGCTCGAGTGCGCATCTCAGCAACCTCGTAGAATGCGACCGCGCCATGGACCGGAAAATCGCGATGGATCCGTTCCACGAACTTGCGATGCGGCTCGCGCATGTAGGTAAGGATCACGTCCGGGTGGTGATTGACGAAGATCTCCCTGAACTCGGCGTGATCGATTTCCCTCTTCTGACGCAAAAGCACAGCTGAGTATCTGACAATTCCGCGGGAAAAAACCCAGCAACGTTCTTCCGCTGAAAGGTTCTCAACTTGCCCAGCACCTGCTTCGGCCATTGAAAGATCTCGTCCAAAGAACCAGGACCCAGGTCCTTGAAGAACTCACCTCAGTTGCGAAAGTCGCAGTGGAAGCAGTGCAAAACAGACACACATGCACACACACACACACACAGACACACACCACTCATCAATCCAAAAACATCTCCGTGGAAGCCGACTCTGACGAATGTTCAACTGCTCAACTATATTCATTGTCCAACACGCCGCACTCAGCACCTGGCTCTGGGCACTACCAGGCTCTTCTTTCTGCGCTTGGCTTCGCGGGCAACACCAACCTAAGCTACTTCAAACTACACCTCTGGGGGCAATTGCAGTGCTTTCACAGTGGTCGAGACTGACACCTTCAAGTTTTCAAAACCCTGGCATGCCTAGACTCGAAAATGGATTTGTTGTGGCTCCCTGGACATGCTTGCGATAATGGCTCTTGCTACCGGAAGACTCCGCAGTCATCTTCAAGCACAGTGTCGCACCAGCCTGCTTCAGGCAGATGGTCCACATTG